CGCAAAGCAGGATGTTCTGAGGGTCGTTATCGGTACCGCAAGTCTCGCATCGGTCACCAGGTCTGTCGTCGGCCGATCGAACGCGTGGGAATGTTCGACTGGGGGTCGACTGGCGAGGCTGAGTCATGTGTGAGCCCGCAACAGTAGGGGGTGCGTCCTTCTTAAGCCGCTTGCTACGTCGGCCATTTGCCTCATCCACATCGTCGTTTGCACTGCTCTCCGGGTCCTGGGAAAAGGTTCGCTTTAGCTGATTGAACTGCTGTCCGTTGGCTAGCGGGGTCAGACCGGCTCCGGGCGGTCTGAAGTCCGGGGTGTTGTCAGCTGAGAGCATGGGACTGCCAGCGTTGCGCAGAGGTGTTGACGTGCGCGATTCCAGCACATCTCGGTGTATAGCGCTCGGTGGGTTGGCCGCAGTAGAAGCACTAGGTGTAGAGGGTTGCGTAGACGGCTTTTGTGCTGAGTTCGCATTGACCGCTGTGAAGCCTCCTGAGTTCACCGGCGTGAAGCCCCCCTGCATCGCAGGTCGTGAGAGCTCTGGCGGTGGAGTAGGCACAGAGTCACCCTGCAGTGTCGCGTTCAGCGCTGCTGAGGCTCGCATAGCCGCTGACTCGGCAGCGTTTGCGACAGGCGTACCCTGTAGCGATTTCTTGATGGGCGAATGAGCTGGTGACGGTGTGAAGGGTCCGCCATGCTCGTACTCCAACATCTGCTGCACGCCAGGTTTGACGAGTCGCAGATATTCCTCGTATGGATGCAGCCATTTCTGATATGAGTTCTTGAGCGATGTCGATAGCGAAGACATTATCTTGCCGCTGTAGCCGAGGTCGCGTCCGATTTCAGCCCATTTCTTCTGCTTGCAAACACGGTCGAATCCACCTCTCTTCTCAACGGCCTTCTTCAGCTTGTAGAGATCCAAGGGGCGTTTGTCCACGCTCGGAAATCGAGTGAGGCTGTGGCCATGTTGCTTATGGAATTTGGCGAGCTGATCGAGATAGTTCAAATTGGCTCGCGTGCCACCTTCGACCGAGTTGAGTTCCTGTCGTCGTGTGCGGAAGTGGAAGCGCTCGGTATCGATAGCGAATGGCGGCTTCCAGCTGTCGGGTGGGACAATCTTGACGATGCCGTACTTTTGCCCTTCCTCGCGAATGCTCTGAATGTATGCCACAGGGTCTTTGAACTGCTCGGCTGTCGGTCGATATGTGGGAGATTCGCGCAGGCCAAAAAGACGGTTCTGTTTGGGTGGCAGGTGGTTTGGCGCTCCATGTCCTCTGCGCTCCACGGTAGCGAGATCCAGCGGCGCTGCCTTGCGCGCGCTCAGAGGAATCGTGCTGGCCGCGCTCGGCTGCGCGCCATTCGCTGCAGGCACCGCAGCACCACCCATTCTAGATGTTGATGCGCCAGCTGCTCCTTCGGGTGTTCCACTGTCCGTGGCAACTCGGAAAGTAGTCATAGTGGCGCCTGTTGGGGGCCCGCTGGGGGGCATGAAGTCTACCATGACTCTCTTGCTCATGCATCAAGCGCTGTCGCTGCGTGCAGCCCTAATTGCAGCCTCGTAACGGGATACGAGATGGTACGGAAGGTATAGCGATTGGAGTCGGGCGTGATTCGGTCGGTGGTGGGCGCTATCGAAGAGATATAGGCGTAGGCATGGGGCCTCTACAGCGGCAGGCGACCGCTTTCGGCCGCTTGGACTGTGCAATTCACTCGTAACAGAGGCGAATGCCAGCACGACTAGAGAATTGTCTGTTAGCGACCGTCGTGGTTGTGGCAGCACGTGCACGGCGAGGTTGGCGAGGCGAGGTGGAGGAGATATGGAGAGGATGGATGGGTCCGCTGAAGGGTGCGAGATTCCCGCTAACGGCGGATGCATATCACGCCCGCCCAAGCACGTACCGAACCCAGAACGTCGAGGCTTGTTGCAGCAGGGCACGGCTAATATCATGCACGACGCTTCGACCCTTTGCGTCGTATCCATGGAGCAATACAGAGCATTTCAACTCAATACATTCATCGCGTTGATGCGGCATCGAGAGGCCACCTTGGACTGCAGTCGTGTGGTGAAGTATGAGAGCTACGTCGTGCCGATCTGGCGACTGCACGCAAGGCTGCCCACCTCACCTCCTCGGCCTTTCTTTTGCGCCGCATTCTACCATGATGACGACCAGCGAACTACATTGGCTCCCAGAACAAGCACATATTGATCTGACTCAGATACAGTTCTCCGCGACTTACTTCTTCTTGCTTTCCACTGTGAACACACGCACGGCTATCTTCGCCACTTGTTTGCATCACCATACTGCATCTCGAAACATCAAGCGTAACAGTAGCAGCATTGCGCATTCGTATCATACTGTCGCGGTCTATCCATCTCTGAATTAAATTCATCTCGACGCCTGAACTGCTGCAGGTGAGGTCGGTAGCAAGGTTGTCTCGTCGGGAAGCACCCCAGCCCACCAATCACGACACACTCCATCTGCACCATCCCGTCAGCCCTAACTGGCCGCTGCACGCTTTTGGATGCGATCAACAATAACATCACGACTTCATCTTTATCATGAACTCAATCATGGCCGACTCTGTCAAGATCGAAAGCCGGCCCATACCAGCCTTTTACTGTTGTTACCTGCTCCGCTCCAAAAACCGAAAAGCATTCTACATTGGCAGCACCCCCAATCCGGCGCGTCGTCTGGGTCAGCACAATGGCTCAAGCAAGGGCGGCGCGAAGCGTACATCAATGCAGGGGAAGCGGCCGTGGGAGATGACGTGCATCGTTACTGGCTTCCCGTCCAGGGCCGCCGCGCTGCAGTTCGAATGGGCGTGGCAAAACACGCACGCCACCCGACACATAGAGCGTGAGGTGCGCGACGCGAGGCTGGAGGAGCTTCAAAAAGGCAGAAAGAACCCATCACCAGTCAAAAGACCGCGACCGCCAATGTCGCTGGAAGCGCGGCTGAAGAACCTACATCATCTGTTAGGCGTCGGGAGTTTCAGCCGATGGCCGCTGAACATCCGTTTCTTCGCACAGGACGTCTTCGCGCAATGGGAGAAGCACATCTCTAAAATGAAGACGAAGCTACGAAAGGACATTACCATCAGAGTGACGCCGGCTGAGCTGCCCAAACTTGCACCGGATGTGCAGAGCGAGATGCGCACGCACTTCATCCCAGAAATAATACGAGCGATCCCCGTTGCGTACGAGGATTGCAAGGCACATGTCGAGAAGTCGAAGAACATTCTAGGAGAGGGCCAAAGACGAACCTGTGTTGTTTGCAAATTAGGCATGAGTGCTGAGGACTCGCTTGCGCTGGTCTGCCCGGTAGAAACGTGCCGCGCAGTATCGCATATGGCTTGTATGTCACAGAAATTTCTTGCAGAAGAAAGCAATGCAGATGCGCTCATTCCGATCCAAGGATCATGTCCGAGCTGCCATAATTCTCTAAGATGGTCAGATCTGATGAAAGAGCTCAGTCTACGCATGTATGGCGAAGAAGAGCTGAAAGTACTGTTCAAAACAAAGCGGAAGAAGAAGTCGGATGGAACTGTCGAAGAGGATGCGGAGGAGTTTCCTGACATTGACGAATTCGAGGTTGACATGGACGAAGATCTCGATGAGACATGGGGGGAGAACGTGAATGACGACGAGGACAAGTGATCTTGCTTCATTCCTGGACGAGAACAACTACCACCCTTCCACAGTTCCTAGCGGTAGCTGGCCCTTTGCAACCCGCTCAATACACCTATCAACCTCCTGTCTAATCTTCGCCGCCACATTCGTCATACTCTCGCCCGCATCGATGCGCACAAAGTCTTCCCCCTCCTTCTTCTGCATCATCGTCTCGAACAACTCGCGCACACGATCCTGCATCTCCTTCTTCTCGTACTTCTCGGTACCATAGCCGCCTCGTTTGGCAGCGTCGTCAGCGGAGATGTCGAGGAAGAGACACAAGTCAGGGCGTGGAAGTCCGACTTCAGGTTTGCGGCACCACTCTAGGCTCATGCTGGGGTTTTGCTTGGCTGCGGAGTATACGCAGCCGCTGTAGTAGTAGCGGTCTACGACGATTGTTGTTCCGGCTGCGAGATCGGCTTGGATAGATGGTCTGTGTCATACATTAAGACATTGAGGTTGATATGGAAATGGACGTGTTTGGCTTACACTGCTTCCCATCGGTTCGCAGAGAATAAGAGATGTATGACATGGTCGTCTTGCTCGCTCTGGCCACTCAGATAGCTGTTAATCATTTGGCCGATCGGTGTCGTCCTATCTGTATACTACATCAGCGTTCAGCTCTATGCGACCAAATGTGCATCCACGCGCCAGCGAATGGCTCTCTATCTACGCGCACGTACCAGGGAACCGCATATGCCGCACCTTAATCCCATCATTCTGCAGATCATCAACTAGCATTTGGCATTGTGTCGATTTGCCTGCGCGATCTAGGCCTTCGAATACTATGAGTTTGCCTCGCGCCATTTTGTGGGGGAGGTGAAACAAGAGGTCGTTGCTACCCTGCAGCGGTTGATGCGCGACTGACGCGAGGTGTTGGTGGGGCGGGCCATCGCCACTCGGGCGCTAGCAACGAACTCATATCCACGGGCGTCCTCCATGCGAGCGTTAACCTTCAAATGTTTCTCCAGTATGCGAAAACAGGATATGCTCCTCTTACTATTCGTTCACGTTACATGTGTGCATATTCTGTATGCAATACAGGTGAGAATCTAGCAATGTGATCGAATCGAAGCAGCCAACGACCGGTGAACCGTAAATATCTTTGCAGCATGATACTTGAAGTATGCACACTGCGCAACACCAATGACATGGCTTGGTCATGTTCGTACGAAGTCTGACATGCATACAACGGTCCCTACTGGTCGACGAGGTTGCCTACCGCGGAGAGGAGACAAGGCTGAAGCGGGGTTTGTTTGCATTCAAATATTGCGAGAGAACTGACAGAAACGCACCTCTTTGCGACCATTCACAAATTTTAACACCACCAAATACAATGAGTAGGAACGGCGCCATGGAGCCTCCTATCGCCGATCTCGCGCGACTGAACGTCAACGACGCGAGAGAAAACAATGCTCTAACCGATATTGTGCAAACAAGCACGACGAAGGCTGAGCCAGCGGACTGGAAAATCATGGCGTGGCAAGCATGCCAGCAAGGACGTTTTGCTGATGTCAAGTCGATCCTGGAGAACTTGGACCCTCAAGATGTCTCACACTTCGTCAATGCTAGGTGCAAGAACGGCAACACCGCGTTGATAGTCGCTTCCGCGTTAGCTCACAAACATGCGTCATGCGCCACGATTATTCCTGTCCTGCTGGAAGCGGGGACCGATATCAACGCTAAGAACAAAGAAGGTCGAACTGCCTTGATGGAAGCAGCGCTTTGGGGAGGTTTAGCAGCGGTGAGAGCTCTCATGAATTGGAAGCAAGGCAGTCTCGTGGACGCAAACTTGAAGGATAAGTCGGGACTTAAGGCCATTGACTTGGCTGGTACGGACAACAAATTCGCAAACGAGAGAAAAAGACGGTGTGCTGATGGCGAAAATGTAGAAGAGTGTTTTGATAAGGCACTGCGGATCAGGATCGTAAAGCTGTTGTTAAGATATGATGGCAATGGAACGGACATGCCTAAGCCTACTCAGCATGCAGGCACGTCGAAGCATGTTGAAAATGGCAAAGAAAGAAGTGATGCAGATATCTTGAAGAAAACCCAAGCAAAGTTGAAGGCTGCGGAAGATTTGGCTAAACGTCACCTGGCTGAGCTGGAAAAGACAAGAAGGAAGCTAAAAAAGAAGGAACAGGAGCTCGAAAAAGAGCATTCGAAGCTCATGAAAGCCCAGACCGACATGAACGATGTCTACGCAAAATTTGAACAACCGAGCCGGATCAACGTAAACGGAGCTAGCCAAAAGCCCCAATTCAGGAAGGAAAGGATATTCATCGACCCCCCTTGGTTCAAATTCGATTTCACGATGACTTTCGATGTCGAGCCTGTGTGGACGGATGCAACGATGGCGTACATGAAGATGAACGAGAAACATTTCTTCGCCAAGAACGGAAAAGCTCATGACACCCAAGATGGTTACATCTCAGGAGAGGATTATTCGGCAAAAGCTTTTCAGTTACTCAAACTTTTGGGGTGTCGTCACGACTCAACATATTCCCAGCACGTTGAGCCACAGCTCATGGCCCTATACGTGGAAGATTTTCGAAACAGCAATAGCATGACATTGGTCCAATTCACAGAGCATCAACCTACAGAAACACTTTATGGGCACGGCAATCCGCTGGTAGTGGAGATATTTGTCAGTGCACGGCCTTGTCCGAAATGCGTGGAGCATGAGGAGATGATAAACGTAGTTGCAAGGATGCATGGTTTCGAATTTGTGCTTACGCATGCTGCATGTTAGCAATGGAACTGGGAGTTCACAGCTGTTGTTAGTATATAGACATGGTATAATTCGAAATGCCTTGATGCTGGGAAATTGGTCACTGGGTGTTCGTATCGTGTTGTCAGGCTTCACGCCTCCGCCGGTAGCGCTTTATACGGAACTTCCATCCTGCCTTTTCATTGCCGCAGCGCAAACAAATCACTGCCTTGAAACCGCATTCGTTTCTTTGTGATTCTGAGAAGATCGTGCAGGAGTGTTCTTGAAAGAACTACAGGTTACGAACACTATCATGCTTGTTATTGAAGAGTAACAGCAAACAAGCCATGCACCGGTTTATATCCCACACTTTGTCTGATATTGTGACAACAATCACAAAAGCTTCCGCCATCATGTCTACACAGGCAATCATAACCTGCAATGCCGCGCTAGAAGAGCTCAAGAGACCGTGGACCGCGACCACATTAACAGAAACTCAAGAACAGCGTCGATCAGACGTAGCCAGTGCGAAGATACTGTGGTCCCAAGTTTTGGTGGAGTTTCGGCAAAAGCAAGGAATGACCGTCAAGAACTACAATCTTAGAAGGAAAAGGCAGCCGTTCTTCCAGTTCTTAGATCTACCCGGTAAGCTTCGCAACATGATATACGACATCTGCCTGGACAACGAGAAGACGACAAGAAACCCTGATATGACGAAGAGGGTACGGGTTAATCGGGGATCAATGGGAAGCAAGACTTATTTGGACCATAACATACGGCAAAAGCGCGTAAAAGAGATCCGCGCGCGAAAGCCGACCAGAGAACATAGAATACGAGATGCCACCCGAAAAGCTGCGCTCGAAAAGATTGTAGAGAGACGACTTAAGCTCGCGATTTGTTCGAGGGATGGACTCACAGCTGGCGCCCACGAAGCATTCTACTTGTACAAGCTCGAGCACGACATGTATACCTTGCCATCAAAGAGAGTGACGGATGGCCAGAACAACCACGACCAAGGCATATTCAACTCAGGCAACAGAACAACAAAGGAAGGTGTCCTGGAGATCGATGTCAGAGGCAATCTAGTCGACGACCTTCCCATGCTCTCCTATGTCGATCGCGCGATCTTCTCCGAAACCCTGTTCCTCTACTACTCCACGGTGAGAGAAGGTTTGTGGATCAAATGGACAGTCCGCAACCTGGATTTCTTCCCTTTCCTGCGCTTCTACCAGTCATTTACCAGGGGTGAAAGCGCGGTCGAAATCCCACCTTCGAGACTGCACATTGAGTTCGACAAGGAGAAAGAGGAGACCGATGACGGTCTACATGCGAAGAAGTTCGTCCATGTAAAGAGACTGGTTGAGCTACACTGGCTGGACGGCTTTCCGCTCTGGGGCTGCTTGACAGGCCTGTCTGATCGCAAGGACTGCAAAGGGCCGTTTGGAGACTACATGTACTCTGTCCGTCAGGTCGTGGCGTTGTACCGTATTGATCACGAAGCTTGGAAGTCGCTCTCCGTTGAATATCTTCGCCGTTGTGAGGAAATGGGTGATGACGATGCCTTGGAGAGTAACTTCGCAACACTCTCCGACGCCGAGCTTGTTGAAGCAGTCATCGACATGCTATGCAGAGCGATTGAGTACCACCTCGGGTACACAGGCAGCTATTCACGCGTTGGTCGCGACCAGAGTGAGTGGGATCAAGACGTCTTCGAAACTTTCAGGTATAAGGGATCACATGTCAGGACGGCTTATGAGAAGGAGCACACCATCGTCCATGTTGTCAGCCTGTATCGGAAGAAGGTCGACAAGACACTGCGGGGTCGGCTAGGGGAGACGTACGAGGAATGGGAGAGTCTTCCAGATGATGCGCTCATTCCTGAAGGGGTGGTGTTGTAGCTGTACAGATAGATCGTAATCTCTTTGCTTATGGCACATTGGTGGCGCCTTCATGTGTGAGATCGTCGCGAAAAAGCCGATGCCTGTGCAACTGTCATCGCGCACGCGGCACACAGAATGTCGGGTTTAACAGGGACTGGTTCTTCGCATGCCTGGAAGCACGGTGCTGACATCGCGATACGTCCGTAAGGTCCAGTTTGGTGTATGATGGGTCTCTGCAAGTCTGTGCCTGGCGAATCAGCGTTGGTGCTTCCGGAGTTCGGCCGAGCAACACGTGACTGGAATGTCAGCACCCCGCCGGCCTACAACTTTCGGGGATGCAGGGCGTAAGTCTCGACAACACAGACTGCGGGTGCCTAAATTCCGACCCGACATAAGTCGCGACGTTTGCAAAGCAGAATGGAGTTCGCAACTCCACAGCCTCCACAGTTTGAGCTGCAAGTCGCCGAATCAGAGCCAGCGGAGCTTGCTACTCATACTACCTAGGTACTTGCCGGATACGTCGATCACCGAGTGACCGAAAATATTTGGAATACAAGAACAGTTGGAGACCTTCAATTCTATCGACTTAGCCTTCATTACACCTTCCAACACAAAATGTCATCACCGAAGCTTATCGTCCACCACCTCCAAATCGGCCAAGGGGAGCGCATCCCATGGCTCCTCGAGGAGCTCAACATTCCTTACGAATTGAAGCTGTACCAACGCTCGCCCATTCTTTCACCACCCGAACTCCAGGCGGTATATCCCATTGGAGCTTCACCCGTCCTTGAAGACCTTACCGATCCGTCCAACCCCGTTAAGATTGCCGAATCTGGCGCCATCACCGATTACATCATCCACAAGTATGGTAACGGACGGTTGGCACTAAAGCCGCAAGACAAGAACTTCGCAGACTACCTCTACTGGCTTCATTTCGCGAATGGCTCGTTACAGTCTGGGCTGTTTAGGAGGGGCATGGCGCGTGGCATGGTTGGCGAAAACGACCCACGTTACAAGGGCCAAGTCGCACGCTGCCATAAGATGCTGAGCCATATCGACAACCGTCTTCAGAACAATAAGTGGCTTGCAGGCGAGGAATTCACTGCTGCCGAGACCATGACAGGGTGGTGCTTCACGACGATGCGCAAGTTTGAGCCAATGGACTTGACCGACTACCCGGGCATTTTGGCATGGCTGGGTCGCATTGGTGAGCGCGAAGCTTACAGACGCGCGATGGGTAAAGCCGATCCCGATCTAGACATTGAGCAGGGGCTCAGCGCAAAGGGTCCTCCGTTGATGGAAGCATTCGTGAAGGCTATGGCGATGAAGCCGTAAGTCCTTTTGAGTGGTTAGGATGATGCGCGGCTGATCGCCATAGGGGTCGCCAAAAGCTGTAAATAGTAGAGATGGAAAGCATGCTAGCTCCGCTCAAAAAATGAAGACTCTTCTCATGACATGTCTCTTCCAATGCTTCTTCTGTTGATGATGATGATGGCGATGGTGCTTGAGGTCGCTGCATGCGCTCACTATCACGCTAAGGTGGTCGATCGCGCAGATCGGCTGCAGGAGTGGGTGGAGACAGGCTTCAAAACATCAACTTCAGCAATTGCATTCTGCGTACGGCAGGCACTACAATGGACGATAAAGCCAAGGAATTTCTGGCTAATGTGGAAGGCGGGATCGTGCCAGTGACATGTCACGATGATGTGTTGCGGATCGCATACATTTATATCGATGAGGGGCTGTGGGACGGCCAGGGCGTATTCGATGTTGTGGAGAAGCTGCACGCGCATGGCTGGTCTTTTGGTGAGGACGAGCTCCGCTTCAATCGGTAAGCTACATCCTCATATGAGAATCCCTCATACCGATGTACCCAGCACCTGGATGTGTGTGACTAAGATGAAACAGTACCTTGGATATATTTTATCTCGCCCAGATTGCAGCAGCCTACTACCGCTGGACCGACCAACTAAATGGAGACGACCCTCTCACCTTCTCAGACTTCGACGCCTTCTACACTGCGCACCATGCCCTCTTGAATCCCACAGCCTGGCGCTCCTACTACTCCACCGCATTCCTTACCCAACCCAACACAGCACGCTTCTACCGCATGCCCGACCTCCAGGATCTTCCGGACTCGTCCTCCCCACTGTGTCTGCCGCGTGATAATCCGGTATCCAAACACGTCCTAAAGCTCCCCCGCTGGGCTTATACTGTGGGGCGGACTTGCCACAGGCAACCGTTCCTTCCATTTGACACGATTACTGACATAGCCCTCCGCACGCTTGACACAGCCTTGACACGCCTACACGCGGTCTACCCCAGCACACTCCCCTTTTCAGAATCACATGCGCGCTTCTGGCTAGACAAGTACTATAAATCTCCCATCGCAGAATCGAAACAAGAAGCGTTGTCCACGAACACCAACACCCAGCTGGAGGGAGAGGAGAAGATCCCTTCATCTTCAAGCCCTACATCTGGCCCATCGCCTCGCAAGGACAACCGCGAAGCATGGGGCCCCCATCACTTTGGGCTCAATGTCGCGTCGGGATTGTATGATATACACAGTTTGGAAGCACAGTACCTCGCACAGGTTTCTTCGGGTAAGGTTGTCGAACCAGAACCTAGCAAGCCAGCGTTCTTCTGGTGTGGGATACCGGATGGAGGGACTGCAGATCAAGCGTTGCAGAGGGGGTGGCAGGAAGAGATTGGGAGTGAGGAGGAGGTCGAGTTCCTAGCCGCTGTTGCGATGGAGGAGACAGCCGGACTGGGAGCTGGAGCAATCAACGTGGATGAGTTGGACTGTTCAATCCGGTCACACATCCTGCTAGCGGTCATGCAGGCTGCGTTGGTAGAGAACATGCAAGAGAGAGAGCGTTTCTTGGGGGAGCTGGAGAGGCGGATGGTACAAAAGGGGAGGATTGGTGAGGAAAGAGCAGGGAGGTGGGTTAGGGAGGCCTTGGAAATTATGGTGCCTTATGTACGTGTGTGGCAGGGCAAATGGCCTGGTGCACATCAGAGAGGGGGAATGCTGCGCCGGATCTTGGTGGAGAATCCAGTGCTCTTTGCACGCTGGAAGTTGTCGCCTGTTTTAAGGCAATTCGCTTTTGACGACGCAAAAGTTGACTGTCTCGGCTGCCAAGCGGCGTACTGTTAATGCCCGTGCGACGAAGATAGCTCGGGATGGTCGGCCGTGTCCTTCCGGGTCCACTTTGACGCGAGTAGTCAGGTACAACAACACGCCATGCCTCCGACCTCATCATGGCCACCTGATCCATCACACCACTCATCCGCTGCAGATACGCGTCGCATCATCACTGGGATGATTTCGAAGGTACCAGAAACAGGTACCGTAGCATGAGCGTGACCTGAGAAGATCGTGGTCATGGCGAGCGGGGTTTCCTGCCAACCAGAGCGGTGGTACAATGAGATCACATAAAGCTTGCTGACCCCTCACGAGGGCATCTCCGCATCTGGGTACAGCTACATAGCTTGCTTTGGAGACACTCTCCAGCTAATCATCCTGCTCAATTACACTCTACTTACCTTCAAATTACTACTGCAGCTTCAGCTACAGCTCCTCACTATGGGGGCAAAGTACTCTCGCCGACCCAGCTACCTCGACGGCCCACTGTCTCCTTCCATCATCCCCGAGCTCGCGATTCTACCCCGGCCTCTCCCTGCCGACAAGGTTCCCTGCGGTCAGCTCGTCTCAAAGACGTCCAAGTACACATCCAAAGCCCTCGAAGACCGCGACTACGACGACATTGGCACACGATGGTATGTGAGAATCTATGCACACAACTTATGTATTGTATACTGACTTCCTCAGGTACAAAGACGTCATTTTCTTCAACGCCGACAACGGAAACTTCGTCGAGAGCTTCGGCGGCACGCACCTACTACAGAAGCCCCTTGATAAGGGCACAGAGGCTGGCACAATCGAGGCGGACGAGCAGAGTGTGAGACTCCTCAAGGATGCCGATGCCGCACTTCAGAAAGTCTGGCAAGATGAGGAGGCCAGGAAGTGGATCAAGGAACAAGACGAGGCCGGCTTCGTAGTCGCCCATCGCCAGGTCTCCAACGCGAGCTACAAACGCGCCAGGCTTGTCGACATTGGTAACAACAATTGGGAAGTCGTGCGCGAGGTTGGCAACGAAGATGCTACTGGTAAGCGCAGGGACTCGGGCCTGCCTGTAGAGACAAACAGCAAATGGGACGTGGTAGGAGTTGTGGTCAAGAAGATTATTGTAGAGGGCGATGATGTGAAGCTCGGTGATGAGCTCGGAGCTCAATACTGGCAGTAGCAGTTAGCTAAACAGTGGCATAGCACATGTACCAATTTTACAAGTCTAGCAGGTTATTGCACGCCCACGGGTACTCTGATTGGCCACTTCTAAGACATGCAGCCGTTAGGCCTTCCATGGCGACGCAGGAATGCAGGTATATTGCTGACACATAGCATTGTTCTTGCTGTGAAAGCGACGTATGATAAGCGCATATTGTTCAGCATAGGAATGCTGACATGACGTGCACGTCTTGATCGAGCATCAGTCGTAGGCGTAAGCAAACCCACGATGGGTTGCGGCGCTTCCACATCATGCATATGGGAAGTATATAAGATAGAGCATCTACCTGTACATGCATCCACAAACGACTGGCGGTATATACCATAGTTGAGGTTCATCCTATACTTGACCTCCAAAGCTAACACGAACATGACCCCGTCATCAAGTGACCCAATTGTCCTCAACAACACATTTCACTTCGAATCCTCAACACATACCTTCGATATCAAATGGACGTCGCTAGGCGCTACAACATCACCACCACTTATCTTCATCCACGGCACTCCCTGGACTTCCCGCGTCTGGGCACCCTTCGCGCTAGCGCTGTCACGCAAATACCGCGTCTACCTCTTCGACAACCCCGGTTTCGGAAATTCACCCATTGAACAACTTCTTCCCAACGCCAACTACAACCCAAAGAACGAGATTGAAAGATTAGACAGCGATCTCGCTCGCCAAACCTCGGCCTTCGCCGCCCTCTTCAAGCATTGGGAGATAAACGAGTCATGGAAGACAGCTCCACAAGTCGTCGCTCACGACCACGGCGGACTAATGAGCCTGCGTGCCAACTTACTACACGATTGTCGCTATTCAAGTCTCTGTCTCGTTGACGTCGTCGCCATCGGCCCCTTCGGCCAACCCCTCTTCAAAAGCGTAGCAGAGAACCCTGCGGCTTTCGAGAATCTACCTGACATGGCTTTTGAAGGTGTCCTTGAATCATATATCCGCAACGCTGCGCACACTACGTTAGACGCTGAGACGATGAGCATACTCAAAGCGCCGTGGCTGACACAAGGTGGGAAGAGAGGCTTCGTCCGCCAGTTGTGTCAGGCTGCGCATCGGAGTACGGAGGAGGTTGAGGGACGGTATGCACAGGTGGGGAGACGTTTCCCCGTGAAGGTGATTTGGGGTAAGCAGGATAATTGGATCCCAGTAAAGGATGCGCATAGGCTGGGGGAGGCGCTGGGGGCGAAAGAATTGGTGGAGATTGAAGGGGCGGGACATCTCGTCATGTATGATCAGCCAGGTCAGTTGGGTGTTGAGCTGGGGATGTGGTTAGCCTCAGTGGGCATGTAATTACTATTTACAACATGACGAATGCAAAATTCTCCGATGATACAGCAACGTCTCAGTGTCATGTCTGAGGGAGTTCGTCGAATATTACTACATACCCCCGCGACTCCTATGAGGTAGCCTGAGGTGTCCATGCGCTCTTCCTACGACGCACTTCAATCGCTACTGGCAGAGGGACCTTGAATCTGATGACCCACATCTTCTTGGGCTTCTCCGCAAGTGGCTTGAAGTCGTAGTTCAGTAGCAGGTTGGCGAAGATAATCTTCAGTTCATGGGAGACGAAGAAGCGCCCAGGGCTGCATCATTGTTAGTACAGATCTTAACGTGAAATTAGTGAGTACCCACCAAGCGTGCCTTCCATGGCCGAAAGGAAGATGGTTAACACCCGTAGTGACAAGACCCGTCTGCTTCAGCTTCAGCGCATCAACGTTTTGTTTCTCCTCCGCGCTCATCGCCTCGTATTCTTCTCTCTGCCGCGAGTATCGGAATGCGTCGAACTCTTCTGGGTCCTCGGTCAAGTCTGTATCGAGGGCCATCGCTCCCCATGGACATGAGAAAAGCGTTCCATACTTCAGATGCACACCCTCAGGTGTTGTGACACCGTCCTTTGCTACAACCTTGCGGTGCACGAATGTAAGGCCGATAGGTGAGGCACGCTGTGATTCGCGTATAGCAGAATCGATGCGGTACATACGGCTAAGACCATTCTTCGTCCAGCTTCCCTCCTCTTGGAAAATGCGATGCGCCTCTTCGCGCAACTGTTCGACAACTTCTGGTTCACTGCCTAGTATGCAGACAATGGTTTCGAAGGCGGTAATCGACGTCGTATGTATGCTGGCGAAGTTGAGTGGCAAGACGCGCTTGGCGATGCGGTCGGGTTGCATCTCCTCGGGTCGTCCCTCGGCCTGCGCAACTCGGTAGCTCCATGTGATGAAGTCATTCGGCTCCTTCCAACTCTTGTACTCAGGATCTCCGGCATCTTTCTTCTCGAAATCCGAGATACGTTGCTTGATCATAGGTATTGTGAACTTCGAAGACAGCCAGTAGTGGTACTTGACAGGCAGACTTAACACCGTTCCGACGATGGGGTGCAGCGCTTTTGGAACAAGAAACATGAGAGCTTGATTGCGAATGACGTCTTTGGTGTAGCTTAGTACCGCTTCTAGGAACTTTGGCTCGTGACATAGCGACTCTCCCAGAAGCATGCGGTTGGTCAACACTGGAATCATCTCCATGAAAGACTCCAGAACGTCCAACTTTTTCCAGTTTTCTGTATCTGTTCCATAAACGTCGGTAATCGTTCGCGGCACCTCTTCTTCGAGACCCGGTATGATCGCAGTGAGATTTCGAAAAAGGCTCTTGTGAAGGACATGTTCATGGTAGGCATCCTTCAAGATGTAAGGGTTGATGAACGAATAATCACCCTGTAAAGAATCGTAATGCGCCTGATGCGCACTCAGTACAGAATCTGGTTGATCAAACATCCAGCGCATTTGACTTTGTGGCATAACAATCTCAGCCTGCATGCCAAGCGTCGCAGGTAACACAAAGATCTTGCCGTCGCGGCTGTACTTGTCGTAACCAGCCAAGAGCCATTCCTTGCTCTTAGTCAACGCAGTAAAGTTGCGGAAGTCGGCGATCCAGCCTTTGCCGTAGCCCATCCATGGTATGCTCGATGGTGGTGATGGCGCTGTGAGGAAGTTGTATGCACTTGCGACGATCAAGTAAGTGATCGCTGCAGCGGCGATATGTGAAAAGGTGAAAAGAGTGTGAGGCTCGGCCCCTTGGCTAAGGTCTGCCATAGTAAATGCGATCAAAGCAGAAGCAATGGGCGATTCACATTATCCCATGTCAACACAGGGGCCGTCATATACTATTTGTGATGATCGACCCGGGAAAGCGCCGTCGCTTGGAGGAGATGCCCCGCTTCCGTGCGCGCGGCCATTCGCGCACGCTACGTCGCACGACATGACTTGCATGCTTACATCCGTCAACTTTATTATTGACGTGCCATACCTGGCTGCTTATCACGATGTCCACTTTGCTTACTGTGTCAGTTGCAGCTGAAGTTATTGCCGGGTAAATTAAGGTTCATTCGCTCCAAAGCTCCGACTGATACAGATCCTCGGCGCTACCATCGGATACGCTGTTCCCGAGCAGCTATAGAGGGTCACGGCCTTTATCAATCAACGGTCTCGGCAAGACCGCTCATCACATGCCATCCAAGCCGAAAGCTCTGAACTACCATCCAGGTTGGCTGCATGCCTCTGTTCGTTGCATGCATCTCACTATAGTATGTTTCATGGGCCTTCGCTACCAACGTTCAGGTCACGCGATTTCACTACTGAGGTTTTAATGTGGCGGTTGTCTGGAAGCACGGGAGGCTTAACAGCTGGATTTATCGATTATTCTACTTGAATCATTCTGGACAGGAAACTACAGATGATTGGAATGCACATCGAGTCCGTGCGTAGACTCCTGATAACACAGAGAACTGCCAACAGAACCAAAGTTCCTCTTGCGATACTGGATAGTACGTTTAAGGCTGTTTCCTTTTCCAGAAAAAACCAAAGATGCCACGAGAACTTGTCGATTTCCTTAGGTACCAAAGCTCATAGGCTCCCACATATCCAAGACCCTTGATCCTCTCAGAGTAAGAAGTACTCGTGACTGACTTCAGCTGATCTTCCCAGATGAATCTGATTTCATCGACATTGCTGCCGGGAGCGTGGGGTGACTCGGTATCGTTGTCGAGGCAGAGCTTCATGTCTCTCGTTACCATCTCTGATAAATGATCTTCAAATCGAAAAGAATTGAGGACGCGTTCTCTATGAGCAGACGGAGTGATGTCCGCCCAGCCGTCTTTATCATCATAGAATATGAACGTGAGACGAGCGATATACAAGTATGGCAAGAGCGCAAAAGCGGCTGGAAACCTGGTAAACACATCCGGCTTGTCCAGAATTGACGTCGGGATTCCGATCTCGACACGTGTGATCTGATCGACCTGGATAGGGATATTGATGCGGAGCGGTGCGCCGTAGGTCTTGTCCCAGGTACTTATTACGTCTCTGAGGAAGTGTTGCATGTTTTGGACAATCTCGATTTCGGCTTCAGCCTTGAGCTTTTTGCAAGAGAGGACGAGAGATTGGTAGTCTGCGATATGGCCGTTGAGCGGAGGCGACATCTCGGCGTACATTTTGAGGCGTAGTTCGGCTGGTAGGCCTAGCAATGAAGCGGCCTTTACGTCCGTGTTGGTGTGAGGTACATAGCGAGCGTGAAAAGGGGGATCCGTGACAGCCACTGAGGACACACTATGGGTTGACATTATGTGGTGGAATAGAAAGATTATCTGCGCTGTTGCACCGATGTTCTCTTTAAGGGAATCTGTGGTAGTGTTTATGGCTAGCTAGGGCAGAACCCAGGCACCACGCACTCCGCCGAACTTTCACTGGTTTCGCATTGAACAACAGGCGAGAAACGACCTCGTCCCTAGGTAGCGAAGAAAAAGGCGTATTTACATTAGCAGAAGGCGGATTGGGTCAACAGTGGGGCAATACGTGCGATCAGCAATTATGTTCTGCTTCTGCTGTATTGACTTGACTTGCTGGCATTTGCACTACCGGTAATGCATGGGCTGTGGGATCTCGCGATCGCCGACACTACCGCATCTTGGTAGTCCTCGAGTATGAGGCCATTTGCTGTCGGTCGTAATATGCAAAAACTTTGAGATTGGCTGAGAATGGAAATCCATTCGACATACCGGGAGTGATGCGGATGCTCCAGCTGTTAGCGGGCGCGTGTTCTCGATGAACTGGACCTCGGGAGTTGTGACGTCACACCCAGCACGTGCCACCAAGGCTATCCTCCGGCGCGCCTCCCCAACTGATGGTTCTTCACATTATCACTTCGCAATCAAAACACCATCAGATGAACTCTGCCGTGGCATTCAGCTCAATTGATAGCCACCTAGCCCTGGCGCATGTCGACATCCGCGGGGACCGGGGTTGGGCAACAAGGGATTGCCTATTGTAGCCTAGCATGCATTCAGCATTGCGGCACAGTAATCGTATCCGACATGTCTCTCCAGTCATAAGACGGCCGTATCCACGATGTTTGCGATTAGTCTTTACGAGTCTTGATCTCTATCTTCTCCCATATTTGAGCTTACGTTGGAGACCCGCACGCGCAGCTCAGCACACCTGAAACATTCATTAATTATATATACCACTTCGCGATCACGATGCAAGCCAGCTCATCTACGAACGTACCATCGGGCACCAGGAGACTCGAGGCTTTTCTCGCTTCACTATCGGCACTCATACAAGCTAATCAGGCACGTCTCGCCGGCGCGGGTGGTATTCCTACTACTACGTCTGTTTCAGCTCAAACCGCCGAATTGTCTAGCAAAGGCAACGGCAAACGCAAAAGACGCGATTCTCATAGCAAGACACCAAAGACGCGAAAGACGCGCACACTGAAAGACCTTGTGAGGGTATGCAAAGAGCTCGGAGACACGAGTGACAAATCGCAATTGCTTGATCGGTGGAAGACGGTGCGCAAGTGTGCTCACCATGTCAGATTGCGATACATTACACACGACCTCGTGCTTGAGCTGGAGCAACTCTGTACAGATCTCAAGACCCAAGGAGGAGCTTCCGGCAAAGTCCGGGATCTTGCCAGAGAGCGGTATTGGGAGGCCGATTCACCTCTAACAAGCAAGGGTATGTTGAGAAGCTTTCACCTACGCAGATATTGGATATGTGCTTATCGCTATGATCAGAAAACCCACTAGAAGAAGATGCGCCGGTGTCTCACTGGACCCCACTCCAACTCAAAAGCTGGGCTCTTTACTTGGAATCTCAACTCCTGTTCGCCAGTTTCGGTGTAAGAATCAGCCTTGTTCAATACAAACATCTCTCAAACAAAGGCGAAGATAAGATAGCTGCGTCGTTCTGGAACGCTGCCATGAAAAGGCTCGATATCCCTGGTCGTCATAAACA